TCGGACATTTTTTTTTTTGTGTCTCTAATAGTTGGTTCCATTCTTTTCTCTAAAATGGAGCCAAAATTCCGTGAATGGCCAAAAGAGAGTGTTGGGTTCGTTGGTCGTTGGAGTTTGGACCGCTCTTCTAAATTTGACAAGAGAATTGGCAACCTTTGAAGGGGAGATGGTAATGTGAAAAATGAAAGCTTAGATACGAGAGAGATACTCTACAAGCTATGGAAAATAAATTTTGTGAGGCAATATGCTAAAACTTTCTTTCACGATACGTTTTGACACCCCAAGTGTAAAAGCAAATGGAAAATTGTTTGTGATGTTGTTTATAAGTGAAGATCACCTTCAAGTGGTCCACGTGGATCCAGTCGAGATGATTACACATTAATCCAATGAAGGTGGGAAGTGATCGCCAAAGCAAGACTGAGGTTAAATAACGGTCTGGCTTTGAGCACCCTTCTAGGATGACAGAGGGGCGAGGATGGACCGAATGACACGTGGAATAGAGCAAGTATCGGCTAGGTGAAATGACCGATACTAACAAAGACATCAATCTTAAGTAAGGAGTTTGCAACACCCCAAATCTCACATCAATTCTTTTGAAGTGTTTGGCCCACGTGGATAAATGATCTAACTTTTACTTCTCGCAATATTAAATTTTTTTCGTTTTGCACTCTGATATCAAAGCATTTCACTTAACTATTTGATAATCAAAAGAAATCACTTTTTAATTCACATTGGAATTTACAATTAGGATGAAGCTATTCTTACAAAGAGCGAACAATTTGCACATCAAGAATCTCATCACATCAAATATAATCCGAAATAAGCTCGATCAATGTACCTATGCACCCCATTTGATCAACTCGATTAGGTGACTCTCTCGTTGCGCATGTGTACAAATACATATCTTTCGGCCGAGGAGGCTTAAAGTGAAGGTCACTTGTTCAATTTGATGGACCAAACTTTAGGGCATGAAGGGATAGACCAATAGAGAGAATGTTTGTCCATCTACCTTAGCCGGTGCCCCCACATTGACAGTTGATGAAATTTAAGACATGGATGTGGACATGAAAGGCTAGTTGAGGGCATGTCAACACAAGAAGAAAGAAGAAGATGGTCAGGAGGAGCCACTCACTCACGCTTACTCCAATCCCCTCTCTTGACAATCTTGTGGTGGCCATTCAATCTTTTCCCATGTGTGTATCTCGAGCATTATACTACGCTCACCTTCCAATTTGGCCACCAACATCATCATGAGGTGGTCGTTCATTTCTCTGTCTTGTCTTCCCCTATGAAGAGTCCCACACTTCGCATTTAATTTCTTATGGGGACATGGTGCCACGAAAGATATGCCCTCATTTGGATTGGCTGCATGCATTTAATTTGATGGAAAGATGTGGAGAAGTTGATGGCCTAATGTTTAGACGTGTGGGCTTTAGGAGTGAGGGCTTAATAAGCTGATGAGAGGTCGTTTTCCATGTCTAGAGCTCCTTCTCTAAAGTTAATTGAGTCATGACTTCTCACGATACCACTAACCGAGCCACATGATTCACGACACCCTTTTTGGATGTTGCAATTAGGGAATGTGCACAGAAATTGTAGTTTGATTCATACATCTCGCTAGCACAAGTTATCAAATATACGGAACTTTTGGAAAGTAGACGACAATCTCGTGACAAAAGTCAGGTGGTCTGACGATCACGTATCATTAGATGTATTCACCACTCAAAGTTTGTCACGTAACAAATTACATGATTAAGACATATTGTTAATTGCATCTAAATATCTTATGTGGCAATTCATGAAGGGTCAGTGTACTTAACATGGATGGTCAAGATAGACCATCTTTTGGCCCAACACTTCGAAACACATGTATCGCATTGTCCGAGTGACAATATCGGAGGACACCCAGCTTAGGACTCTCAATATTTCTTGAGATCTGGACCAAACAATGTTTGGAAAAAAGGAGAATATTTCCATTCATCCAACACTTCAGCTCATAATTGTCCAAAGATTGTTTTATATAGAGAGAATATGAATTAGAAGAGGATATTTGCTATGACAATGTGCTGACCAAGTCCTTTGCCTCTGTCTATGAAAACGATACTCCTCCCTCAGTGGCACCATCCGAATAGTTAACTCGGCCCGGCCCATCAATGCCTTCCGAGCCCCATTCTTGTGTACAATGTTTAATGTTTGGGCCTATGGCAATGGGCCAGACGATTTTCTAGGCCTTTTTAAAGGAAAAATAATTATTTAAGTATTTTTGCTAACATTCTCATTTTTGCTTTTGGCAATCAGATAGAGATATAACTAAGATACATGTTATGCAATTTTGCAAGTGTGTAGATTCTAATGAAGTTTATAATATAATTCGAGTTAACAATTTTTTATTTCAATCATGCAGCTGGATTTTATTTATAGCTTTTGTTAATCTTTGTTTTTACGTCAAAAAAATAATAGCACAAATTCATGTATGTGCAAAGATCCACAGCCATAAAGCCAAATTGTTGCTTAAATTATTTGGCAAAAAAATTGGATTTAAGTCTATGGGGAATTCACAAAAGATTCATGCGATTATATAATTGTCAATGATGCGTTGTAAGATCATCATTTTATTTAGTACGTTGCAATTCTCTTCTCCTATATGACTAAATCCATCCTATTTATAATTTTTAAAAAAATTCCCTCAATTATTCAATTGCAATTTAAAGTTGCCCCATTTCTTCTTCTTTTTCTATTTTTTATAATTCTGTTTAGGATCTATTTGTCATAATTAAGCATTTTACATGTTCCTTTTTATGAATTAAAGAATTTTTTTTAGTGTATTCTTAGATATTCTTGTAATGCTTTACATGCTCCATATAAAAGTATCTTGCCAATCGTAAAGAAAAACGACAAATTCTTTGATATAGTAAAAACTCAAAAGTTTCTTCTTTATCATTGCTCTTATAAGAACTTATTTATTTTTTGTCCCTCTTATCTAAAAAATGTCACTTTCTTAGTGAATTTTTTGTGTTATAAATTCATTAGTCTACAGTATATATCTAGTCTCTTTTTTTTTGTATAGAAATATATATCTAAGAATACACTAAAAACATATGCACAATGAGGAATCTTGATTCTTTTTTGTGAACACTTCATGGATGATATCATTTTCCTTTTGTCAATCAATGTGATTTCACTGGCGTTTTAAAGAAAATTGTATTTTATGTGAATTTTTTGTTTAATTTAAGTTTTAAATCGAAGAATGTAACTGTGATTTTATTTTAGAAAATCATCAAAGAAGTTTTTTTTGGTTTTTTGTTTTGCTTTTTGCTTCATCTGATCATCGTATTATATATAAAAGAGAAAACTAATAAGAAGAGATTTGATGGTAATGTGCATAGCAAAAGTGAAAATTTTGTAAAAAAGCAATTGTGTTAAAAATTTGTCTATGTTAATTTTTTTCCTAAATTCTATTTGAAAATGTATCCATAAATTTGCTCGGCAACGTAATAATGAACTAGATTTATTGGAAATTTCTCTATCCATCGAAACCAAATCTTATGGAAGTAAAATCTAACAATAAACAGTGCCTTCAATACACATGAGTTTCCTGCGATAAATAATTTTTTTTAATTATGGTAAGTAAATCCTACATAGAAATACAAAACTAAATAAAGAGGAAAGTAATTAACTATGGGGCCACCACTTTAAATTTGGGAAATTAAGCAGTTGAATGACTGATTGCAAATTTGTCATTTCGATGAAAATTGGGTGGATTTAGGCCCCATTTGGTTCAGTATTTGGAATGCTCATTTGGGCTCTAAAGTTCCTTGGCCAAATGCAAATGGTGTTTGACAACTTTTTTTACTAACTTTGGGGAGGATGCAATTGCATTTGGAATGTTCTCCAAATGACTTTTGGCCAATGCAAAAGTGGAGGTGCATTGAGAAGTTGCATTTTCGAAATGCAACTTACACTATCCATCGCGACTGTTCATCTTCCCCAAAGATAGGTCCGGCAACCGGCGACTGCCGCTTGAGGGCTAGCCCGACCCCGGCGACCACCACCTAGGGATCGCGTTACCTCGGTGACCGTCGTCTGGGATCGCCGGACCTCGGGCGTCACTTGGGTCGCGCGACCCAGGCGACCCGAGGTCCGACGACCGTCGCGACCCAGGCGACGCTTGAGGTTGTGCGACCTTAGGCCGCCTTGCTTAAGGTCAGGTGGTGGTGGCCAGCGACCAGATCTGGTCGGCGGCGGTTAGCCGGCGACCAGATCTGGTCGGCGGCGGTTAGCCGGCGACCAAATCTGGCTAGCGGCGGTGGTCGGTGGTTAAGCTCCACTGGAACCTTTTTTTTTTTTTTAATATTAGCAAAAGTCCTTTAGCCCAAGTTGATTTTAAAAAACACTTACCAAACATTACTTTTATTTCGGAAAACCCCTTTAGCCCAAAAGTATTTGTATTACCTTAAAGGCATTCCTCCAAAGTTGAACCAAACGGGCCCTTAGTCATGTCAAGCCAGAAACAACGTCGCCCTTTATATTTTTAGAAAATCATTTTAGCTATTATCAGTATGTTGATGTATTATCATTAAAAGGAAAATTGGCTCAAAGTTGAGGTTGAGTTTTCACTGGCATTAAAAAAAAAATGTCTTATATATGGTAACTAAAATAAACAAAAATGTCTTATATATAGTAACTAAATCCTAGAAAAACTAAATAAAGAGGAAAGTAAATAGCTATGGGTTTATTTAGGAAATTATTTTGGCAAAGAGAATTAGATTTATTGGAATTTTCCCCTTTCCGCAAAACCAAATTTTAAGGAAGTAAAAATCTATCAAAAAATAGTGCCTCTAATATACATGAGATACCTAAAATGAACAAATTTTTTTTATTTATGGTAACTAAATCCTAAAAAAAAACTAAATAAAGAGGAAGGCAAATAACCATGGGGGTTTATTTAGGAAATTATTTTGGCCATTTTCAGTATGTTGATGTAATTATTATTAAAAGGAAAGTTGGCCCAAAGCTGGGGTTGAGTTTCACCACCCTGTTTTCACCCGTTTAACTCCCCCGCCCACAGTTCACAGAGCCGCCCCATCTCCGCCCTCTTCCGCCCGCCGCCCGCCACCGCTCTCCGCCCCCTCGAGTGGCCCGCCGAAGTCGCTCGCCGCCGGGGGCTCGAAGTCGTGTCGCCTTCAGCTGTCCTTCGTTCGCTTCCCTTGCTGCTCAGGTACTCTCTCTCTCTCTCTCTCTCTCTCTCTCTCTGTGTCTGTGCGTGTGGGTGGGTAGATTGCTCCTCTCGGACAGGTTACCAGGTGCTCGGAGCAGGTTCTTTTCTGGGTCGTAGTTCGATCTTTTCATTGTTCCTTCACCGGTTTGTGGGCAACTGTAATTGTCGGAAAAGAACACGCTTCGAGTTGTGAAAATGATTCTTGCTTGGTTACCCGCGCTGTCCAAGATTCAAAGTGTGTTTATTATGTTCGTTTTCGGGGTGGTCGTTTCTCAAACGGAAAAGAAATGGTGAAATTTCGACGTACGGCGGGGTGACGGGGCGAAGCGGGGCAACCTGTTCGCCTTGCGGCGATTGGGGATGCGAATCTTCGCCTGCATGGGCGAGAATGTGGGCATCCGTGTTTGCTGATAGCTAATTGTATTGTTCGCATTTTGTTGTATTGTGCGGCCTCAGAACACTCCCAAATTGCCTTTATAAAAGCAGAGCATGCCGAGGTTTTAGCCTGAAGAGGATTGGCGTGGACGAAGCAGTGCTTGCATAGCTCTGATGCTTATAATTCCATCAGTTTTAGCTGAAAAAATTGGAGTTGATTTCGGTGGGGCTTGTATGTTGTCTAGAACAAATGGTTACTCTGAATGGTTTCGTTAGTCAAGGGGGGAAAGACCTCTTGTTTGCATGAGCAAGCGGCAATTTTTGTAGTTTCTGAGCAATCTCTGTCTTATCCAGGTCTGGCCATCTAAAATGCTTTCAAAGTCCCAAATTGCAAAGCTTTTATCCTGTTCGGTTTCTCAAAGAAAGACTGAATTGTATGTTGCTTCAAGTTGCTACTTGTGCAACTCCTTTTGTTCTGTCACTAAGCCGCCTGAGAGAAATGAGTCACCGGAGATCCCAAGCTGGGTGAAGTCCCTTGATGACAAGAGCCATGGAAGTCCTGATGCAGAGGATAATTTTGTGATCCCTTCCCTCGCTTCTTGGGTTAAGAGTTATGGGCCATACGGTCGTACTGAAGTTGCCAAGGTTACATCAAGTGACATAGGAGAAATTAACGTTGAGAAAGTCTGCAAACTTTTGAGGAATCGTTATTCATCACCAGATTGTGTTGTTGCAGCTTTGAATGCTAGTGGTGTTGGTTCTTCAAGCAGTATGATTGAGCGAATTTTGAAGAAGTTTAGCAATGATTGGATCCCAGCTTTTGGTGTTTTCACTTGGGCAAAACTACAAATGGGTCACCATCATCCATCTGTGTTATGTGATCTAATGGTTGACATATTAGGGAAATCAAGTAAGTTCCATTTGATGTGGAAATTGGTGGAGGAAATGAAGACATTAGAAGTATATGTTACACTGGCAACTATGAGTAAGGTGATGAGACGGCTTGCTAGAGCAGGTAAGTATCAAGATGCGATAGAGGTCTTTAAAGAAATTGAGCAATTTGGTGTTAAGAGGGATATTACTGCAATGAATGTGCTAATGGATGCATTGGCTAAGGAAAATAGCGTTGAGCATGCCCATGAAGTGTTTTTGCAGTTTAAGGCAAGTATCCCATGTGATATCAATAGTTACAATATTTTGATACATGGATACTGTAAATGTAAACAATTCGATAATGCAAGAAAAATTTTGGAAGAGATGGAGCAACAAGGGTTTGAACCTAATGTAATTTCTTATACTTGTTTTGTCGAATGGTATAGTCGTGAACAGGATTTTCATAATGTAAATGCCATTCTGGATGAAATGAAGAAAAAGGGTTGTTCGCCAAATACGGTGACTTATACTATTTTAATGCAAGGTTTGGGGAAAGCAAAACAAATAAATGATGCACTGGAGGTCTATGAAAATATGAAGAGCATTGGTTGTGCTCCGGATCCCTCCTTCTATAGCTCATTGATTTATATCTTGAATAAAGCTGGTAGATTTCAGGATGCATGGAATGTATATGAAGACATGGGAAAACAAGGAGTTAAACCAGATTTGTTGACATATAACACAGTAATTGCTGCTGCTTGTGTACGTTCACGAGAAGAGACTGCTTTGAAGATTCTTAAGAAAATGGAAGAAGATTCTTGTAAGCCAGATCTCAAGACATATGCATCTCTAATAAAGATGTGTTGCAGAAAGAAGAGAATGAAGGTTCTTCAATTTTTGTTGAACCACATGTTTAAAAACGATGTCAGTATCGAAGTCTCAACTTACTCTCTCTTGGTACGTGGGCTTTGCAAATCTGGGAAACTTGAGGAGGCTTGTTTGTTCTTTGAAGAAATGGTGTTGAGAGGAATAGTCCCATGGGAAACCACATACAAATTGCTGGTACAGAAGCTTGATGGAATGAGCATGGGAAAACAAAAGGAGCACATTGAGAAGATAATGTCAGAGGCAAAAGAGTGGGGGAAGATTTGATTGTGTTTGAGAGGAAAAAAGCTATTCAGATTTGTACTATTTGTTATCTAAAGGATTTTGCAGTTTCAATGTCTCTTAAATGGTTCCTCTATTCTATTATTGGCTACAGAAGTTGACCTGTGCTGTGAATAGAGTGTGGCATTAGCATGACTATACTAGGTGTTAAAGGTATAGGAAGGTAGTCCATTTCAGATCTAGGCTCCTCTTTGTTTGGAATTTAATTAAAAAGCTGCATGTTTTTTGGCATGTGATGCTTGCAACTGTCATGTTAGAGAATGAATAGCCTCTGGCATTATTCCTTCTGCCATTTCTTCCTTTGAATGCTTTACGATTTCGGCAGGGAATTATATTTTGGCTACTCTTCTAATGTAATAGGTGTTAAAGCTAAAAGAAAGACACTCCTTTTTTATCCAATTATATTTTGGCTACTCTTCTAATGTAATAGGTGTTAAAGCTAAAAAAAAGACACTCATTTTATCCAATTATATTTTGGCTACTCTTCTAACGTAATCTAATTCCGAGGCTGCATATGTTGTATTGCATGTGAGGATTTCTTTGTAGTGTGCTTGAAGAATAAATGGCCACTTGCATCACTGTTCCGTTGTTTCACTGTTTCTACTACTCGTGTAGATCTTATTGTTTTTCTGCATTCATTTAGTTTTCATCATAAGTAAAGCTTTTTGTACAGGGTAGATGATCTTTTTATTTGCTAATAAAGGCAATGCTTTTGTTTTCACGTCACCTCATAGTCAGTATTGTCAAAAGCGCTAGCCAAAGTAAGGTCTCCTTGCCTGCTCTGAGGTGAATCACCTTCACGTAGGCGCCACTTAGTCGAGTGCCTGTACCAAGGCAACACTTTGCTCAAGTAGTTTGCGGCTAAGACCGAGGCTTGTGGTGGCAGCTGATCGCTAATTAACTCTCGTGGCTTTTTCTGTCCAGATAAAATGAAAAGGGCTTTGCCGTGGAGTGACCAGGTGGATGTGATATCATCTGACGGATCTTCTTCCTCAGATGCTGAGAGGGAGACTACTGATGCATCTTGTGGCAAGTTCCCTGCAATTGCCATTCCAATAGGACGTAATTTCCAAGACTCGACATCTGAAGGTACTTATATACAGAATAGAGTTTATTTACAACGATAATCATTGTAGCCTTGCAATCTAAGGCATGGGCACCTGATGATAAAGGTTCTTATGTAGGGGATTCATGAAGTTTAACTGAACCACTAGGTCAAAACTTTCTAATGCAGGTGACTTGCTCAAAAGGGCAAAAATGTACCAGCAGTACATGAACCAGATCACAGTACCCACTCGCCGTGGCTCCGTGATTCCATTTACTTCCTGGATGGGATTAGGCAAATCGATCAAGCAATTGTACGGACAACCGTTGCATTACCTGACAAATGTCCAACTTAAGCAGTGGGACCAAGAGAGAATTGGCTCGGAGGCTGAAGATGAGCCACTTGACACAATCATCCATCCCTCTAAAGCCGAAGCCATGATTTGGCTTGTTGAAGAAGTTCACCGGCGCACATCATCTCACTATTACATTGCTAAGCTCTGGAAGTCAGATCCGCTGTACCACACCTGTGTTGATTCTGTCTTCCCAGAACTATGAACCTCATTCTCAGAGACCCATTGTCCTGCCCTTTTGCCTACCCAGTAGTCCTAGACTGCTGGATTCCTTTCCTTTGTCTATACCTTTATCGCTGAACTGCACCCGTCTCTAGGCTTTAAAAAGTCTGGTGTACCGATATTTTTGGCGGATGCTCCTTTTCGGTATAAGATGGATGTAAACAAATAAGTCCTCGCCTTTTCTGTTCATCTCTATCCTCTTTTTGAGGGGGTTTCGGTTGACGTTTAGGTTCCTGAAGGCTCTGATCTTGGTAGCGGTGGCTGTGAATTTCTTCAATACCAAACTATTAGCAGGCATATCTGTTTTTGTTGCAATCGTTTCTGCAAGAACCTTGAATTTTTGCTTTGGGAAATAATGATCGTATTTACGGCTGCTGCCGAACATGTGTAGCAAACTTGTTTTTCTATTTGTCTCATTTCCTTTTCTCTTGATGCATCTGACTGAGTGTTCTAAAATGGAGGACAAACATTGATGGATCATGCCCATGCCTGCATATATTGATGGTCCTTCAGGCTTCGGCAAGCCACAAATCAGAGAAATTCCTCATCTTATCAAAGGCATTTGTAGCATATCATTCCAAGCATTGACATGTTCTTATAAAAATGCTAATGATTGAAATGTTCAGCATTTAGGAAGGCCTAAGTTCTCGTTGTATCTTGTCGTGATCTCATGGGTGATAGTGTCATGATGAGTCAAATTCTTGCAAAAGGATTTTACCTTTTCTAGTGAATCCTTCTGCCCAACATCTTTTAATAAAGCGCTTTGCAGTCGAGCAACGAAAAGCATTTGAAGTTGTGATATGCTCATTTTTACTGTCTTGTATACAAATTATAGTTGCTTTGTGTCTGATGCATCATATAACTATAATTTTTACTTCTCCATGTTACTGCATTCTAAGCCCGTTATTTGGAATTTTTTTTTTGGTCGAAAAATCCTTAATAATAAAGACTTTCGTCTTCTTGCATCAATCTTAGGCCCAAAGTAAAAGTGTTTTCTCAAAAGAGGGCCTAAAATAAATCTTATCTCAAATAAAAAACATGAAGTGACAAATTAATCTCAAATAATGAGCCGAGCTCGCCAATCAGCCAAATCTTAATAAGCCCATTATTTGGAATTCAGAAACTATAGAAACCAACTCCTAGACAAGTTCAATGAGACTACATAGACCCTTTATTGCATGGTCGATGGATTCTGAGACCGAGTACACGTGCAATTATCTTACTCCCACAAAGCCGACTGACGCGTGAACGAGAAGAAGAGAACTCGGATACCTTACGCTTGATTGCTCTTATTTTCCATGTCTTAACACCGCAGAAGAAAAGGCTAAGAAAACAGCATTTGAAGAAAAACAGGGAAAAAGCTCTCGGGAACTAACTACTTGTTATTTACATTGGAGCTTAGAGTGGAACAAGCACAAGATTTGTTGGAGAGAGCTCGAGATATAGCTCTGATGGTATTTGGTGTAGTTCTGCAGCAACCACCGAAAAGTAAAGCACCGGCCTCACGCCACTTGCCTACATATGACACAAAATCCTCGTCCACCACCCCTGTCGACGGCTGCCAACAAATGAAACATCTCGTATCACTTTTATCATCTCCAGTGAGATATGTGAAAACAAAATAATTAAACCAAATTTCAATCCCTAACAAAACTTCATTGACTTTTGAACAGCACATTAGGAACTGGATCAATTCAATTCATTCTTCTTTCAGAGCATTCAGAATATTCTGATTTTACAGCTACAACAGGAGGTGTTTCTTTTTTTCGTAAGCTGCTTTACAAATACTAGTGGCACACAAATATAATTGTCCTAGAATTAATTCGCAAGAATGTAAAACCAAGACATATCACAAACGAAAAACTGTAGAGAAACGGTCACCAAGACACAGCAATGAAAGTATAGATACAGAGAAGTATATCGACCAAAAACTTACCACCCACTCCTTGCAATCTGCATCATACGTCTCCCCACTGTTTGGGTAGACAAGCACAGGTTTTTCGGTTACCTACCAAATTTATTGATGCCAAATCAGAAAACTAAAGGAATTTGTAAGTTCAATAGAACGAGTCCTTGAGAAAAGAGTAGCAGAGAGCACCGAGCATAATGAAGAGAAATAAGCTAAAAAGGAAAGAACACAGAATCAGATATAAAGCTTATACCTTCTTAATAGAAGTTAGAAGCCCATGAATGTATCTAGGAGGGGTACAGTTGATCCCAACAGCAACAACTTGCTTGCATGAATCTGCAACGGATGCACAATCTACCATAGGATCACCACTGACCACATTAATTCCATCCTTAGAATTAAAAGAGAACCACGCTGGGGTTGTTATATTCTCTTCCTGAAGAAGCTCGGCATAAGCCTGCAATTAAAAAAGAAACATAAGTACATCTACCCAATATATACATCAAAGCTGCATGAGACATGACCACATGACGTCCGCAGGTACAATGTAATCAAATCCACCAATTCTAGAAAGCACATCTAGCTTTGCATCAAGAAGGCAAATCATCAGACCAAATCATGATAGTCGATAAAAGGATACCCTGCTTATCAAAATTGGACAAGCAACTTAATGACTTAGTTTTGCATCGGTGACTCAGTTGGACATATTGTATTGGCACGAGGATCCAGCACAGAAAGTGATGCCTCACGAAAAAATATCAAGGCATCCTATCAGAAGTGATTGGTTTAAGGACTGAACAAATATATAAAGCTGACTTTACTCAATTCTTCTAATGCATTGTCCTATGACTGAACACTTCAGACAGGCAAAATAAGGAAGATCTCAAGGAATTGTGAGAGTCAAACAGCAGCATATTAACAAAAATGTACAGCAATTTTATATTTGCCCAAGGATCCATCACAGAAAGTGATGCCTTGTGAAAAAATATTACAGGATCCTATCAGAAGTGATTGGTTTATGGACTGAACAATTATATAAAGCTGACTTTACTCAATTCTTCTATTGCATTGTCCAACGACTGTAAGCTTCAGACAAGCAAAATAAGGAAGATCTCAGGGAAGTGCGAGGGTCAAACAGCAGCATATGAACAAAAATGTATAGGTTTTCTTAAATGAAGAGTAGTATATTTTACATATAGCAAAAACTGAGAAGCCTAAAGAATAGGCTGGATGTCGTGGTTTTACCAATATAAACAATTGTATAGAGCACAACACCATGAAGTTTAATGATGAATGAGCTCCATAGTCAGTATGGCTTGAATAGTTTATAATACTATACAACATACACAGAAAGAGAGTCATGCCAACAATGCAGAAGTACTGTAAGTCATACCCTTGCTTCCAGCTTATTTGGAATAGTTTCAAATGCAATTATGTCGGCTCCTGAGTTGGCTAGAATTTGTACCCTTCTCCGGTGAAATTCCTTCAATGTTTCAAGAGTAACTGCATCTCCATAGTCACCACTACAGAATGGAGCAGAAATAACAGTTGTTATTGTAGGCCCTATCTTGTAACATTTATTATGCTTGCTCATAATATGTACTCTTTTGAAGATACATAAATCATCAGCAGCCAATGCATGCAAGCCAGATGTTCAGACCTCTACACCCTCTGCGAATGCAGGTCTATTGGGATGGTTAAGTTTGAGATACAAGATCATTCAGATAAAAAAAAAAACAACATAGAAACTTTACCTATATTCAGACCCATCAGCCAAGTAAGCTCCATAGCTTCCAACAGAAGCCGCGACTAGAACAGGACGCGTTGCCATTCTTCCATTTTCCGTGAAGTTTAATGAATCCTTCGTGCATTTTTCCTCATATATCTCCCTTGCCTCACATGCAATTTCAACACTTCTTTTGAGTAAATTTTCAGCTTCTTCTCTCGACAATCCTTTAGCCTCAAAACCCTGAATTGTGGCCTGTCGTTTTTACACAACTCATGCAGCATCAATATCCAGTAATCCATATTTTGGCTAATGTTTTGCATGAGCATTGAGAAGATAAAAGTCGCACCTGATAAGATGCCGTCAATATGATATTTGCTCCAGCTTCAAGGTAGTCCAAGTGAACCTGTAATGTTTGAGCATAATAAACACATTAGTAAGAGGAAGGATAAATTTCTTCGCTGTGCTCCTTATGGTTACACATGGGCTCAAACCCCCATACTTCATCAGGACAACTATGTGCTGATTTTGGACAGGACATGTGAGATTAAAAGTACTAGTGCATTTCACATTTTTGTCCACAGCATGACAAAGTGCAGAACATTATCTATTCTGCCAGAGAGTTTGCTCTTTTCTCAAAAGATCCTGGAACATTATTAAATTCACATACAACCAGACTAGCAGTACCTTCCCAGAACCCTTTCCTTTTTTTAATCCTGTACAGCACCTTCCCTAGATCTTTAAAGCATCAGAGATAGCACAACCCAGTGGGAGGAATCAATCCTTTCTCCTTCTCCTACTTCTCGTTGTATCATTAAAGTATGTTGCAGAAAAAGACAGCACAATGAGGAATCCCGTGGTGATTTATATCACATTCAACTATTAAACCTGGTAGGTTCATCAAAACAACAACAAAAAAATGCAGCAGGAAAAGACAACTGTCCTACAAATTTCGAAAGATACCATGATTACACATTTAGATGGGCAGAACATCCTTATCCAAGTCATTGTCAGAACGAATAAATTCTCGTGCAGAGCACATAACACAGTAAAAAAATGGTACCCACTTGGTCTAATGACATAATAGCTCGTTCTTAAGTTTCAAAGTCAGATGCCAAATAGGAAAAATTTATAAACACATCATTTTCAAGGTGCGATCTTTAAGAGTCTCCCAGAAAAATAAAGAAAAAAAGCTAAACAGGAAATCATAGTTCGCATGATCTCGCTCTAAACTAAACCCAGTAGATCATGTTTTTCCTTCAATCTCTGAACCAAAACCCACCTTCACAGGCCTAAAACAAACATCGCCCCCGCTCACTTCCAAACCCCCCAAATCTCACCATTTCACTCGACCCGCGAATCCCCGAGCGAACACGATGAAGGAAAGAAACGACAGACACATGCAAACGACAGACACATGCGAACGACAAAGTCCAATTTTTCCGACAAAAGAAGAAAGATGTCGCGACGGAAAGCACGACCGAAAAGGAAACGATTTTTTTTTTTTGTTTTCTTTTCTCACCCTTCGGACGAGCTGGGGCGAAGTGATGAGGCACTTGGCGCTCCAGAGGGGGTCGTTGAGGTTGGCGCCGTGGCGCTCCAGCTCCGTGGCGAAGCCGCCGTCGATCAAGGCGTGGCCGCCGCACCGCTTGAGGAAGTCCAGCATGAACCCCGGCGCGTCCTCGGCGGCGGGCCCCATGTCCGTACCCCGCACGAAAGGGAGAAGAGGGTCGGTGGGATTTCGTGTACGGAAGAGAACCCAGAAACGTCGTCGCTCCTCTTCTTCTTCTTCTTCTTCTTCTTCTTCGTGCACAGAAGAGAGAGCATGCGAGAGAGAAGCTGACAGTTATGGCGGATTCAGAGCGACCTGGGCAGCAACGTACAATTTATAGGGGACGATGGGGGAGGTAAGGCGGAATGACTATTTTGCCCCTGGCTTGGGCTATCTCCTCTTATCCCCCTGCCTCGCCGGGGGATAAGAGGGGATAAGAGGAGACAAGAGTTGTAGTGGTAGATATTCTTGAAAAGACAAATATTATATATATATATATATATATATATTGGCTATTTTTTGGCCAAATTTAAAAAAAAAAATTAGATGTGGCATTTTTTGAGATTTATAGAAAAAAAAACCCAATTTATGGAGTCGAATTTCGAAGTCACTAAATATCCTCATTAAAGATAAACACAAAAAAAATTTGAATTCCCTTCTAATTATATTTTTTTATCTTTCAAATTTTATGATATTATCCATTATACAGGAATTAAAACTTGTCGGTGACACCACGCCGGGACTTTAATGGAATTTTGCCTGCTGAATAGTTTGATGTTGGAAATTTCGTTCGATTATCTTATATACAGTAGATCTATATATACACATGTAAAGTAATGTTTTGAGATATTATTTCTATTTTTCATTTACGTTATGCCCTTAGATGTGAAACTATTCGCCACTAGTGAGCAAATTATTAATTCAGGCTTCACATTCAAGCTTAGCTAAATCTTAAGATAACATCACACGTTTCGAGTGCAATTGAAAAATAAAAAATTGGAACAAATACTCGAATATGAAAAAAGAGAAAGAGATGAAAGAAGCTAAAAGCAAGCACTCTTGCTTGGCATCGAACGTGTGAAGATAAGCTACAGCAGCCACAAAGTGACACATGATTTTTTTATTATTATTATTATAAAAGAAGATAAACACTTCAAGCCACGTTTGGTCACCCGGATTTAAATTGAGATAGGATAGGATAAAATAGAATTAGAAATCCTTCAAATATCCTATCTAGACTACCAAACGTAACCTTAGGATAGACACACAAAAAGGCAGAAAAGAAATGATATAAGGATGGCAAGAAAACTAATGGCCTAATTCCATTATAACAAAATATTATAATATTCAACCAAAAAAAAAAACTCCGTTATTATAAAGCACCAACTTTAGGTCGAATTCCACTTTTGACCCAAATTTTTTATTATCTCGTAAAAAAGCATCAACTTTTAGTCAGTACCCCAATTTGCCCACCGTCAAGCTTTCGTCCCACGGTGCCGTTACATGTTCGATGTATCAATCCACATCTACTCGGTGGAAATTTAACGGAAATTTGACGGGGGTCGGATTTAGATATCAACCAAAAGTTTATGCTTTTTCACGAGATAAAAAAAAAAATCAGGCCAGAATTGGGTTACAAGCTAAACTTGGTATTTTTTTTACGAGATAAAAACAAGTTTGGGCTAAAAAAGGGACACGAGATAAAGTCGGTACCTTTTTTGTGAGGCCAAAAAAAATTTAAGCTAGAATTGAAACTTGAGTTAAAAAAGTTGCTTCTTTTTAAAGGGATTCGGCCGAAAAATAATAATGTGTATATATATATTTTTTGTGTGTGTGTATATATATCACACGCATCTATGAGTGGCCTTATCTTCACCAGCTCATGCACTAATCTCCACGCAACATTACAAACACGTCATTACTTTCTATTTAAGTTACATGTGACTTGTCCCAATTTCTAAGGCTAATTTTCCATCCCCGAGATTTTTTGATTTATTAGTTAGTTGTTTATTGTGCAATCACGTGTTCCATAGCCTAATAGCGTGTAACAAGAATACAACCCGAATAATAATCTGTTCTCTCATATGATGTAACTTGACCAAAAAAAAATAAGGTTAATACTTAATACTATAAAAACTCGCAAACCGGTACTCCAAAAAACTTTCAACCCAATCTTATTTTCGCTTCGCAGAAAATCTCAAACGGGCACATTGACCCAAATCTACCTTCCGTTAGCATTACGTCCGAAATCTAATCAAAATGCATATGTGTCAGCACAAGACGAACGACTAAGTCCACTAAAGTCACTTGTCTTGGAATAATTTTGGCTATTATTCTTTTTGCTATATATATAATCAGGCAAAAAAAGAGAGAAAAAGAGCAGGATTCTTAAGCTACGAATGATAATCATTCTATTTTTCTGTTTTTATTCCAAAAATAAATTTGGAACATAAATCCGTTTGGTAATACAATTTCATTTTTTAATTTAGTCATTGACTCTGAAACTGTTTTAGATCATTAAACTAACCATTTATTCCAAAACCATTTCAGAATATTAATCTGGCCATTAATTCTAAACTCGTTTCAGAACCTTAATCTAGCCATTGATTCTGAAACCGTTTTAGAACCTTAATCTTGCCTGACTCAATCTAATTGCCGAAACTTACAAATACATTTGCAATATGTCTCTCCCGTTCAAACTTTATTTTGAATTGGTTATAGTGTGTGACATCCTTAAGTTCATCACTAAGCTGGCAGTGAGACTTGTACTAACACATTAGTACAACCAAGAGAACTGATTGTCCCAATCAATCTCCAGGTCCTACAAACCATGAGTGACATTTAACAATATGTCATGGTTACCCAGATAGTATAAATGTTTTAAGAACATAATGAACCTGTCAACTTTGGCTACCATGTAATTCAATCATTCTGTCTTACTATATCCGAATCAAAAAAAGGCCATGGAATTGTTTATCAAGCCCCAATTCGATCATATTGCGCACGTATGTACCTTTGTATATGGACAAACTATGACCATTAAGTACAAAGATGGTTCGACGAAGCGTCAATATGCACACTTGTGAATCATAGCCATCCAAAATACAAGTCAACACCATGCCTCAGGTCTAAGGATTTTACATAAGACTAGAGCCTAAACGATTAGTCATTGACCCCGTTGAAAGCTTCCATTTAAGTGCCTATGTTCTAACTCGAGTATCACAATACCCAATGATTTGTGACTCATCATTCCCTTAAGTATCCAATACTCAATTGTAAAGCTTGAGAACACACCAGTCTCAACATGATCATCAATATTCTCTCAATGATCTATCGATCGAAAACTGTTTAAAGATTTAGTCTAACTTTAAACCTGTCACACATATTCTTAATACCATAAGAATAGGTCCAGTCGCAACTGATTTTCATTCATATAAATGGGACATTGAATGAATATGTCTTTGCCATTAAATAAATAATACAACCAAAATCCCTAACATGCAACGATTATATAGTTACTTTAGGGCATATAGCTAACAATTTCTACTTTCATTTTTCAAACCCGTGAGCGTTAATGGAATGATTTAGTTGCACCAATTTGACAAGTTTAAGAACTCGATTGCACTTGTTACAAGTTTTATGACTCAACTGTACTTTCGCGACAAGTTTTAGGACTTTTAGTGCACTTGTCCCTTATTTTAATTTTATCAACTACATTAGCAATAGTTTTTCTAAGCCACCATATGTTCATTGCAATAATTCGTTGCATTCTAATATCCTATTGGTACCCGATTTACAAAATTTCAAAAGGAAATTAATCTCTTTCTAGTCCTTTTCCCACCACTTCCACAAAAGTCCACATTGAATGGACATGAGGGGGCTAATAATGTAAAGGGTGGGGTGCATCTTTGAATAGAAGACAAAAGTATGCTACAATTTTTTTTAATGGCTATCGACAAATTATTCACCTGAGATGAGGACAATAGATTGATGTGCTTTTTCTTTAGTGATAATTCACAAGATAATTTATTTTTATTACCTAGCTTTTGGCCAAATATGTTGCTTTCCTTCTCACTTTCGTTTGTACTAGGATGGAACCTTAACCATTTGGAATCTTTATACGGATGTTTTTTAATATTTCGTAGAAAAGAATTATATTTATTATGGGGACCTTAGTACTTTGATTCCCCTACCATGTACCATTCCTATAATCACAAATCACAAACCTGATAATACGTCACATCGAACACCTAAAATACACATCCCCATACTATGTTGCAATGAATTGCAAGTTCTTGATAACCATTTGGAATCTTTATACGGATTTTTTTTAATATTTCGTAGAAAAGAATTATATTTATTATGGGGACCTTAGTACTTTGATTCCCCTACCATGTACCATCCCTATAATCACAAATCACAAACCTGATAATACGCCACATCGAACACCTAAAATACACATCCCCATACTATGTTGCCATGAATTGCAAGTTCTTGATAACCATTTGGAATCTTTATACGGATTTTTTTTAATATTTCGTAGAAAAGAATTATATTTATTATGGGGACCTTAGTACTTTGATTCCCCTACCATGTACCATCCCTATAATCACAAATCACAAACCTGATAATACGCCACATCGAACACCTAAAATACACATCCCCATACTATGTTGCAATGAATTGCAAGTTCTTGATAACCATTTGGAATCTTTATACGGATTTTTTTAAATATTTCGTAGAAAAGAATTATATTTATTATGGGGACCTTAGTACTTTGATTCCCCTACCATGTACAATCCCTATAATCACAAATCACAAACCTTATAATACGTCACATCGAACACCTAAAATACCCATCCCCATACTATGTTGCCATGAATTGCAAGTTCTTGATAATAATAATAAAAAAAGCACAGGGTAGCTTAAATGGTGAAACTGACTAAGTTCTAGAAATTTGTAAAGTCGGGGTCTAGGTTCAAAAAGTTTGGAATCATTACAAGTGTCAAGGCGGGTCGAATTCACTACCTGCTCTTGAATCTGCACGCTCCAAGTTGTTGCGTCTCTCCTAATCCCTCGCGTCTCAGAAGGTTTTCTAATGACCCGTGAATTCGTGCTGGTATAGCGCTCGCCATATCCCCAAAATAGTGAGAAAGTTAATGCCAGCACGTTCTGTATGAGTATACTAGTTCTTGTA